CAACGTCTTCGCGGTGCATCCTGGGTAATGCCGATAGCTTGCAAAAAAATTACTGTTTGAGTAGTTTATTTTGATATTTTTTACAATTAAAGTCACATTTTCTGCGTCTAAATGTAAAACTCGAATTTTCGTACTTTCGAGTTCGATATCTCAAAAACGCATCAAGATAGAACTTTTTGAATTATTTTTTCCATAATCTTTGATAAGTCTCTATCGAAAACCACACTTACTTTTTGTCGTTACAGGAATTGTAGAATCCCCGAATTCAATCTTGGGGGCGTGATGCAATAACAGATTTTTTTCTACAATATTCGCTAAACTTTCAAAACTTTTCAAAAATTTTCAACAAGTTATCAAATGCTATTGTTTATGCACACTACATCCTCCTGCCATTTTCTGAACATTCTGATTTTTACACCTGATTTATTCTAAAATTTTAGTCTACATTTTTTATTCATAAATATGTTTTTAATAGACTTGTTGCTTTTCTTCAAATCATAACTACAAACAAAACATTTAATGACCACGTTTCTTTGCAAATACGTCCTGAATGTATAAAACCTGAATTCATTTCAAAAACGTATTCGGGCACTACTCTCAGAAACGTGGCGCATGTCGGACACTTTTTAGCACATCGTCGCAACTGTGTTAACTGTGCCTTAATAGTGAAAACTGTACATATATCCCCGAATAGATGAAGGTTGTGGCTCAGAGATATATCGTTTTAAATTTCAGAGGACGTGAAACACGACTTTTACGCGTGAGAATAAGCCCCCTGTGTCCCGGCTTGTTCTTCCTTATGTGTATTTCTTATGTCTTATGTGGACCGGGCTCAAACAGTGATGACCGGGAAAAATTTTTCGCACCCAATTTTTTGGTGCTTATTTGTTCAAAATATATTTATGTACCTGAAAGTTCATCTTGCCACCCAAGAATGTGCTCTCAATTCTGCTTGCCTTGGCGCGTCGTGCGCAGGCGGGCTCACTCCGCCTTTAACCGCCAAGCCGAGTGTTGTTCTCTGAGTGTAACTTTTAGTATTTGCTAACCAATAAACCAGTTTGTATCCAAAGATTACTGTTTATTCATCTCCTGTCTTTAGTTTTCCTCTACCACTTAGCTTGAAAATTATTAAAAACCAATTTAAATGTATATACCTAAACCCACTGTTTTCGAGTAAAAAATTCCCACAGTTTAAAAAAATGCATTTTCTCCGATTTTCAGAGCTCCACGACTAGGGGCGGCTTAAGGTGCGGCGAACTGGGCACTTGCCCAGGGCGCCAGATAGGCAGGGACGCCAAGTAAACGACAACGCAAAACACTGTAGTACTGTAAAAACCATTTTTTCTAGTTAAAAATAAAAAATGTGAGTATAAAACTTCGAGTATCATAATGAACTAATTCACCATTTACATTTTTAAATTTAGTTAACCATATTTTCCTTGGAATCAGTAATACTTGAGTATTAATAATAAACGATTATCAAATGAATATGATTAATATTCTACTGAAGTGTCCCACGGTATAACTCAGTTCGTCTATTAATATCATTCCCAATGAAAATGTGTTGCGCATCAGTCAATTAAGATAAAGATTTTTTTTAACAATATTTAATTAGACTACTACTATTTGGAATACTTTATTTCTACGTAATTACATACACACATACATGCACACAGACACACTTATAAACAAATTTGTGCGTGGGACATTTCACGTAAACTAAAACAGAAAAAAATTGTCCTTTGAATTTCGGGGATCGGTAGTACTCGATGAGAACGCTATAATGTTATATTTTCAGATTTTTGAGTAACATCTTTACCGTTAGCCACGGTCACTAATATTAAATTTTTCACTTTGACCGCAACCTTGTGAATTTTAGGGGGAAAATTATGCGGGTCAAAAAAAAAAGAAATACGTTTTCATTAACGTTTTTTTCGTAAAATACGATAAAACTATTTTAAAATTTTGTAGGTTGGACTTCCAGCACATTACGGTAGTTTTTTACTTTGAAATCAAAGATTAGGAAAGTATGATACTTTATAACTTAGTCTTATTGTTTTTTGATAAAGTACATACCCAATTGAAAATGTGAACGTAGTTAGGTTACGTATTTGAGAATAAGAAAATACGTCATATCAATATGTAGTGTTTGCTTGAAACCTTTCGTCACCTAGTTGTATTACGTATTTTGCAGTCATGAAGCGTATGTCTACGTGAAAACAGTTTGACAATATGATAACGATGGGGATAAGCATGATCGTAATGCTGATGTAAAATTATAAACAAAAAAGAATTTTGAAACGTATATTTTCGTCCCTCACGCAAAGTGCTTTGCACCCTAGGGCCTAATTTCCGTCTACTAGTTACTTTCCGCCTACGGGCAGGAAGAAACATTCTGGCCCTGCTGGACTGTAATTAAAAGTACTAGAGTAATTGGCGGGAGGCAAGTGTGCCCATGGGCGCAAAGTTACACTTTCCACCCTCGATACAAAAAATGTCGCTCTCACCTCGGGCACAAACATACAACAATTGTACTTTTTAAGCGCGCAAGTTCTACTTTCTGCCCTAGGTGAGAAATACACTGTTCTATACCTAAAGTCGCTGTAATATGCTAATAACCCAACCTACAAATTTTAAATAATTTTATTGTATTCTACAATTTGCACACTGAGAAAAGTTGTGTTAGAAAAAGAATTACAACTATAAAAAAAAATTACTGTATTGTATAGGACAGCTGAGACATACTCGCCATATTATAAAAATACCCATGCTACACAGTAAAACCGGATTATATTAAAATTTGTTATTTGACATAGTAATTTTTACTTTACTTTGTGCAGAAATAATTTTTAGATTAAAGTAAAATAAGAATTATATACATACACATATATGTTGCACACAAAATATTTATATATGTAACAAACAGAACATTAAGATTAATAGTTTTTTTGTGTATAGATATTTTTTTCTTCTTAGAATACAGATACCTACAGAAGTGTTTTAAAAATATTTTATTTTAAAAGAGATCTGCAGTGACTGGGAATTAAACCTTCGTCTTTTGTAGATTTTCTGTAGACAACACTGTTAACAACGAATAATCAGTCGATTTGAAATTAATTATCTGCAGGTATCCATTTTTAACCATTATAAATTAAAAAATATGTTTCTTGTCATGATAACATAAATTTATCCTTAAATTTGAAAATCAATAGGCGTGCATACCTATAGATGTTGTACAAACTTACTTTCGATCATAGTAATTTTTACTATACTGAATGGCAATGCAGTGGAATGAGAAATTTCACTATCACAGAGCGAATTCTACTTTTAAATGTGGAAAATTTTAAAACGATTAGAACAAAATTTACAATATTGTATCGCAAAAATTGTACTATCATAATTTTTACTATGTTAGACATAGTAATTTTTATTACACCGTGTAATTATTTTCGTACGGATGGTACACAAAAATAATGACATTAAATAAAATGAAAATTATTTTAAATGTAACCATTGGCGTCGTAAAGTAAGTATTTGAGTAATAAAGTAAGTAATAAAGTAAGTATAAAATATAGAAATTTTTAGTACAGTTATTATCCTTTTCTAACACCACTTTTATCAGCCCGGTCAGATTAAAAAATTCGAAATTTTTGACCGTCACGGACGGCGAAGATGTTTGTCAAAAAATTAGACAAAATTACTAAATAATTTTCTCATGAAGTAATATCCATCTCCAAAATTTGTAGGGCTATATAGGGCGCCAAACTGGTCAGTTGCCCAGGGTACCAGAATATCTTAAGCCGCCCTTGTCCACGACAGTGTTAAATAAATTCATTATCATATGTTACAACAAATAATCATAAACTGTAAGCCTTCCTCTGCAACCTCTAAGAAAGAAAATGTCGAAAAGTTAGGTGGCAAGATTGTTTTTTGCAATAAACGTTCAAGGCGTTTCAGCGCACGCTCATGTGTGAGTGTATAACTATATACACACTATGTGGCTCAGCGTGTAGTGAACATACATAGGTATCGCTGTGTCTGTTCACACCTTATATCCACGCACACGCATGCGCTTCGCTCGCTCGGAAAAAAAAAAAAACTTGGACCCTGTAAGTACCGGACAGTAGAGTTGCCCACTGCGCATGCGTATCCACTATATCCACGTAATTACGTAAATATACGATGCGTTTTGGTGCGAATAGACACTACGTATAGGTATACACTCACGCAGTAGAGCGCGCTGAAATGCCTTAAACGTTTATTGCAAAAAATAATCTTGCCACTTAACTTTTCGACATTTTCTTTTTTAGAGGTTGTAGAGGAAGGCTTACAGTTTATGATTATGTGTTGTAACATATGATAGTGAGTTTATTTAACACTGTCGTGGAGCTCTGAAAATCGGAGAAAATGCATTTTTTGAAACTTTGGGAATTTTTTACTCTAAAATTGTGGCGTTTAGGTATATACATTTCAATTGGATTTTTTGTTCTAGATAATCTGAGAATATTTTTTTCAGGTCGAAAAAACAACTTTGACGAAATTGTTTACAAAAAAATTGTTTAAACAATACCTGACCACATTTTTGGGTGGCAAGATGAACTTTCAGGTACATTACTATATTTTTAACAAGAAAGCCAAAAAAATTGGGAGCGAATAATTTTCCCCGGTTCATCACTGTTTGAGCCCGGTCTAATGTTTTTTTGCTTACATGTCCTTTCTTTAAGGTCAATTCTATACAGGTCATGTGCGAGACCCCCTGTGTGATGTGTACAGTTAACGAAGCTTAAGTGTATACAAAGAGTAAGTAAATGGGTACGTTATTTAGTGATCGGTCTGTCATTTCAATTCTCCTAGCTAACATTGACATCTATGTACATAGTGAATATAGATATACTTTCTTGAGGAATGGGACCAAACAACCAACAAAAGAAATTGTACTCAACACGGCACACGATAGCGGCCCGTATTAACTGCAAATTGGAACATATATATTAGCATACCTTGAAACAATGGGGCAGTTAATTGAGGTAAACATGGTGGATTATAAACTTTTTTCAATATATCAACCATATGATTTTGTGCAGGAAAGAAATGCACTTCTGGAAAGTAGTCTGGCAGACTTTCTGATGCTCCAAGTGATAAGTTAACATCACAAAGATTTCTGAATACAGCATTGATATCAACTGATTTTAAATACCTTCTCTTACTGTGACGTAGTCTCAGAGCACATTTCTAAAATACAGACGACTCAAGTAAAGTATAATTATAATCACATATTAATATTCTAGTATATTAATATTCTAGTCAATACAACGATAGTAATATCTCTGGCCATTTTACTTACATGTAGTATTTCGCGTAACCTGTAGGATATATCTTCCCCCAGTTTACACAGTAATACATCAGATAATGGGGGAAAATCTAATTTTTCAGCTAATGCTGTAATCCACTCTGTGCTAGAAATGGCGTACTGCTTAGAAATATCCATAAGTTAATAATAATAGTGTAAGTCAAATTTGATTCTATGATATGCTATTACTGCATTTCATAGTTTTGTTGTATGTAATTCTGTGTAGCTACATGTAAAAATTGCCCAATGATTTATAATCGCCAAAAGCAAACTATATACAAAAAACTAAGAGTTAGGTGATAGAAGGAGAAATTGTCTATGGAAAACAGAGTAAGTATTTTTAGAGAATACACGAAAACTTTGTTGGAAAAAAATATACCATAAGAACGTATATACAACTAACGTGAATAAGAAAAATGTTTCGATTCGTAACTTTTATGGCACTTCAGAGTTAATTTTTGACATTAAAAAATAATAACAGGAAATGGATAAGCCTTTTACCGCGGTGTAAGAAGCAGAAAAGACGGTCCTATGTCACGGTGTAAGATAACAGTTGGTCCCATGTAGGCATAATTTTTGTAAAATACTTGCAGTGTTTCATTCAAGATCCAGCAGATGGCGAATAGGAGTCGAATACGAAGTGTAGATATACTCCTTGTGTTGGAGAACACCACCATGGGTGTGTTCCAGTAACGCTCTCCGACAACTTACCGACAACTTAATTATGTCTTACGATATCTTGCGTCATGTTTGAGTTGTCGGTAAGTTGTCGGAGAGCGCTACTGAAACATACGGCATATATACTTATACCACTAGTGTTGGTGAATCAAACTAGCAGTAAATAATATAGATAATACTAGCGGAAGTTAAAGTGTGTAGTTTGCTTACAAAATAATACATTTACATCGCAATCCACCTAATTAACCTCCATCAATGATGTATACAGACTTCCATCATTTTTTGGGGCACTAAATAATGTTTAGCTATTAGCGGCGTCGGTTCAGTGGTAAGCATGCTTGCTACTGATACAACGCTGTTCTAGGGGTCGTTTGTTCAATTCCTTTCTTAGGTTTATCTAGTAAAGATTTTTTTTCTTATCTATTTATTCTTAATCATAAAAAAAATATTTTCTGCACTGTTTTTCAAAGATTTTTATTTCAATTTCTAAATTCACATAATCAAACTGTGTGTACGTTGCTGCACAAAAGTTAACATCAATTAGTGTCGAAGAAATTATTTTGGAAGCGTACTGTTGATCGATTGAAATTTTTTTTCTACTGTACGAGGGTATGTTTGCAAGCATCGGCAGTGAAGTGACATTGAGGGCAGTCCTGTCGGTAAAACGTATAATCATCGAATTTGACCTCTTTTTTTAGAAGTCCGTACATTTAATGGTTTTTTAAAAATGAGTGAAAGCTTTCATTGCCTCAAGCATCAGCATTAAAATGCTGCAAGTTGTGAGCGTATACCGACGCCTCCAGCAAAGAAATGTACTTGACGTCACGTTACAATGCTAATGTAAATGGTGGCTGACCGTCCTGTACGTTTCTTCGTTGGAGGCGTCGATACAGCTGAACAGTTTTAAGAAAGTTCGTATGGAGAGCAAAAAAATTTGAGTAAGTTGTTTGTAAATTTTGTTTTTTTTCAAATCTTTGGCAAGGAGCTCATTTTCGATACGAGTGTCTTTGTTAAAGTGTTACGCTATCTACATAAACTATTTTGTATTTTAAGAAAATTACTAACATTCACAATGTTACATTAAATATCATAAAAGCGCTTTCTTCACGTGATACCAGATTGAGATTGGTGATGTCTTTTCTCGAAAATTTGCGCGGTAAAACAACATTCAAAAAGTTTCTGCTATCTGATATGCATCAAATATTAATTATCTTTTTTTTTTTTTTTTTTTCTATCAAAGTGACTTTCAAAAAACTCCCGAACTTGTCAGACGAGCGGGTAGTGAGTATCTCCAGAACGTTAGCCTTATGCACTTTTGTCTGTCATGATGTCAAGAACTTTTTTTTTCTTGTGCAACTAGGTTACTGTGATCGATCTTACTAGTAAACGGGGGTTGAAAACAGTGTTTTTCTCGACAGTGTACCCGAACAGTCACCGATCGCGCTCTTTATTCGAAACGATTGGCCTGTTGAGTTTACGTACATAGTATCCCACAGAAGTAAAAAAATGATGATTTCAGTTTTACATTCTGTTTTTCACCATTCGATGTTCTCAAATACATATTACAATACGTATCATTTGGTTCAATAAAAAAAATAAAAATCGGCTGAGATATTTGCAATGTTCGAATTGCCAAAAAATCTTTTTTCCTAAAATATTGTTAAAGATGCAAATATTAAAATCTTTTTTGCACATTTATGCACAATATCCTTGAACAAACATGTTTACTGAGGACTTAGAAATATTTTAGTGTGTGGACCACAACCTGAAAAAGAAAAATTCGATCCAGCATTTGCTTTATCTGCCACTTCCCTTCTTGCTTCTTTCTCTCTCTCCCCGCACCATGATCTACGTATATAACGCACGTATGTAGTATAGCATTGAGGGATACGGCTCGTAGGCCTCGTAGTTCGTAGCTAATTGTGGCTGCAACTCTCTCCTGCTCACTCACTCTTACAGCAAGTGTATAAAATGCTTAATCAATTTTTAGCATAATTTCGCGCTTGTTCAAAGATATGTAATTAATTTAAATCAATAGGAAATTTTCCGCCCTACAAGCTGGTATTTTTATTTTTGTCGTATCTGTTACTGTTAAAGAGATATAAGCGAAATGAACTTTATACACGATTTTCACATTTATCCATTTAATGAGAAGATTGTATAAATGGAAATATTAACAGAAACATGAATAACTCAAGAGAAAATAATTTAATGAAAGATTTAAAGTTTCAATCGGATCCTGAGTATTAAAATCCGGAGATTTCAGAGCACACTACAGAGTCTGATCATTCAAAAGCTGCCACTAAAGTAAAGAGAGGGCGGCCAAACAAAAGAGAAGCTGTTATCCAAGGAAATAGACACCAAAGTTAGAAAACTACCCATCAGAAAAGCCAGGATCAACAGACCAACGTGGTCCCACCTTAGCCTGGCGGAAAAAGCTCCTGCCCTTGATGATATCATTTGTTTACCTGCCATAAACACTTATAAAGAACAATAAATTTAAGATCGGAGGATGAAATGACTTATGTCTTATTAGCTGAAACAAACTTAGTTAGACCCAGTGAAGCCTTGAATTCAGATCACGAAACACAGTGGCTATAAGCTATCAGAGAGTAACTGGAATCCATGGAAACAAATAAAGTGTGGAAAATAGTCAACAGACCATCCTTGGATAAAAATGGGGTCAAATAATACACACTATAGAGTCAAAATGGGTGTTTAAAAGAAAAGCCGGTCCAAATAGAGAACCTATTTACAAAGCACGATTGGTAATAAGAGGTTTTAAAGACAGGAGGGAGTATGAACTCAAAGAAACCTACGCTCCTGTCTCCAGACTGGCGGTAATCAGAGCAGCTCTTGCCATTATTAATAAATATGATCTCGACGTTTGCCAGATGGATGTTAAAACCGCCTTCCTTAATGAACCTTAGAAGAGGACATTTTTATGGAAATCCCAGACATGAAAGATTGTAGTTCAGATGAGAACAAATGCAATAAGATATGCCTACTCGAAAAATTAATCTATGGTCTTCGTATAAGTTCCAAGAGATGGAATAAACGCTTTACCGAGGAAGTCTTAAAACTTGGTCTTGAAAAAGATATTAATGAGCCCTTTCTCTTTACTTGGAGGAAAAATAACAAAATGGTGATATTAATGTTGTATGTTGATGATAACGAATGAAATGAATCCAGCTTAAGTACAACGCTTCAAATGAAAGACATGGGAGAACTCAAATATTACTTGGGCATGAAAATTTTCAGGGACAGAAATCAGAAGATTCTTACCCTCACGCAGTCAAAGTATACTAAGAAAATTTTGATTCTATTCAATATGTATGAGAGCAAACCCCAGGAAACTTCCATACTGACGAGACAAGTAAAAAATAAGTAATAGAAGAACTTTGAGCACGATTGAGCAGAAGCAGCGCAGCGAACTATTGCGCCCTATAGTGAAGCTATAGGAAGCCTCCTCTACATGGCAGGAGTAACTAGACCAGATATATCCTTTGCAGTCAACTACTTGTCCAGGTCACAGTTGAAACCCACTGAGCTGGACTAGAAAGAAGTTAAAAGAGTATTTTGATATCTTAAAGGCACTCATGAGTTGTGTCTGGTGTTCAGAGATAGAGACGAGAACATGGAGGCGATGACTGACGCTAGCTTCAGAGACTTAGAGGATTCGACCACAACAGAAGGTTACGTCATTAAGTTGTTCAAGGACACTATACATTGTAGAAGTCACAAGCAGCCATATGTCATCCTATCCCCTGCCAAGCCGAGTATTTAGCCATGAGCGATGTGTGTCAAAAACTTGATTCTCTAGACAAAGCCATCCGAACTATGATAGGAAAAACTATGTACCCGGTAACTATCTGGTGCGACAATCAGTCAGCAGTTAAATGTACTCACATGGATGGAAGTCACAAGTTGAAAAACTTTGATGACGACTTGGCAACTATTCAGAGACGACTGTCAGAAAGAGAAACGACTGGCCCAAAAAGTCATATGGCTGACACCCATGGAGACTTTATTAAATATTGTGTACAACAAGACAGAGTTAACATTCAGTGGATTGCTTCCTCAGAGAATGAAGCGGATATTATGACCAAGCCCTTGCCCATAGACAGTCACCACAACCTCAGAGATAACGTATTAAATAAATAAATTCATTTTACTCAGAGCCCTTAATTTATCAAAACTGCTACTTGTATGGGGCATTCCACGTCAAGTGAAACGGTCATAAATAGTTAAGACCAAAATATATGGGAATTGATAGTCCTTTTAGAGAAATCGTTTACTCTAATTTTTTTAGAATTGTTTACCGTCACCAAAGCCGTCAGTGACGGTCACAAATTTGAAATATTTTCTTAGGCCCAATTCTTTCCAATTATTGTGCTGAGAAAAAAAAATAAAAAATGAAAATAAGGGCCACACTTTGTAGATCTTTTGACGTAGAATAGTTTAAAAATATTTTCAAAATAATTTGAGGTTATGTAACCCTACTTTTTTGAGTTCTTAAGCTTAAATAATTTTTTAACAGGCGCTAGGTGTCACTGAACTTTATTGTCACCAAATTTGACGCTTTTTCGCTTGGGTTTCAAGGTTTTGCAATCAGATAAAAAACTTATTAGTATTCATGGAGGCTGCCGACAATGGGTGTGCAGTTAAACTTTTGAAATTCAAAATGGCTGATTCAATATGGTGGACGATTTTTGAAAATATTCAAAAATAATTCTAAAATAAATCGTATCGTATTTCTCGTTTAATTCTAAGTAAAAATTGTATCTTGTACTTTTTCGATTAAATGCATGTAGTCAGAGCAAA